AGGTAAAATTATCCATGGCCTGAGGTCAGTATTTCTATTTTAGTCAAGCTTTTAAAAATGGCATATATAGCTTGATCATGCTAGCCCTTTTTGTCTTGGGAATACTTTATTCCTGCCCATCATGTTAAAGCTTGTCTTTAGCAGCACAGTGTAGTTTTTAGCATCCTTGGCAGGCAGCAAACTTGTAAACTCTAGCTCCAGCAGATTTAATGCCCTCTTCTGGCCTCTGTGGGCATGTATACGCATATTCTTAGAGAGATACACACCACCACATAAATAAAAATGAAACAGCTTAAAACAATCAGGACTAGAAACTGACTTTTTTTTTAATTTAAAAATGAGCATTAAAGCTACAGAATTAGGTAAGATTTTATAGGGAAAATAGATGAAATTAAAAGGTGGTTGAAGTTCTAGCTTTAGAAGAGAAAATATGGGGGATCCATTTGGAATAATAGGAAAAGCTGAGCCAGTAAGAAGACTAAGTGAGAAAGGTATTTGCCATCAAGCCTGCTGACCTAAATTTGATTCCAATGTCCACATAGTAGGAGTGAACTACTCCTGCAAGTTGTTCTCCTACCACCCATACACAGAGTAGCACAAGTGTACGGATAAACAAACATACACACAATTAGCTTATCTTTTTAAATTAGGAAAAATTTCTTTACTCCAACTCATTGATTCTCTCTTCATTTATTTGCTGAATTCACAAGAGGAAAACAGTACAGAGAAAAAGGCAAACAATGCTCAGTTAGTAAAGGTGACTGGAAGGAAACCATGTAATGAATCTAAAGGAGACCAAGTGTTACTGAGGAGGGGTGTGATTAACAAAGTCAAACACTTTAGAGTTGAAGCAGTCTAAGGTGGAGTTCTTGGCTCTGGAGATTAAAGAGTTCACAGCTGGGGATGTAGATTAGAATACAGTGCTTGCCTCATATGCTAAGGTGCTTATTTAGTCCCCATCACTATACAAAAATAAAAGTCTAAAAACAGGAGAAGGAAATAAAAGGGTATAGTGGGCATCTTAGGATTGGTTTTTAAGGTTACTTCTGTATTGTATATCTAAAGTCTCTTTTTTTTAATCTCCTTATCTTACTTTTAGGGATTCTAAGTGTACCTATAAACACACACACACACACACACACACAGACACACAGACACACACTTTTTCTGACAACTATAAAAGTGTGGCTAGTGTGGCTATAGACATGATGAAAATAAGATGAAATAATTTTCATGAACATAACTGAATGTGAATAGTAATGTATGGATTATTTTATTGCAGTAGTTTCTTGCATGTAAAAGTGCAATCCATATAAAGGAAATTCAAAATATGACATGACGATATCATAAATAAATGAACACCATGGAAATGAAATTTTATGGCCTAAATGAGTCATGTCAATTTATAGTAACATAAAGTGTATAAATGTAAATAAAAGCAATATAAGCATATAAATAACTAAATTCCTAAGATATCCTATATTCTGTAAAAGTCATAACCCATCTTTAATGAACTCAAAGACATGGAAAGCCTGACATGTAAAATATGGCTATTATTAAGTTTATGGGGAATGTGTTGATTAGTAGAGCTTTCAAACAACCAATCAAATCTATCATTAAAATTTTTTCGAGGGACCATATGCCATACCAGAATAATAGTTAAGTGGTTGTTAGAGATGTATGGAATAAAAAGTAAAACAGGAAAAACAGTCTGATGAGAGATATTTTCATTATACATCTACCAATATGATTCAGCTAATATGTACATATTTTGTCTAATTTAGTCAAGCTTAATACTTTAGGTGATCAGAGAATGTGAACCTAAAATCTAAAATATAATTTAGTTTACATGATAACATTTGACAAGACCATCTGTATCTACAGGATTATCTTTATGTACATAAAAAACCTGAATACATGTATATATACCCATTATTTTAAAATATAATCTAAAAAATAAAAAAAAATAAAAAAGAAGAAAAACAAGACAAACAAACAAACAAACTATGGGTTAGGAATATAGCTCATTGTTAGACTACCTGCTTAGCATAGGTAGTGCCTTGGGCTTGTAACTTAGCACTACAAAAACAAAACATAATGAAACCATAGGTTGATATTCTTATTATATAAAAGTACTAAATACTTCTTTAAATAATACAAATGAAGCACCAATACCACTAAAAACCTAGAGAAACTTAGATAACTGAATGTAATTTTATTTTATTAATAACTCATTCATTCAAGAAATTTTTTTCTCAGAAGAGGCTTTAATTAGAGAGGAGGGAGAAAGGACTGATACAGAAGAAGGAGGAGGAGGTAAAATGACAGTAAATGTGTGAGAAAAAAAATCACAAGGAATCACAGATATATAAGTTTACACATTATACTTGTGTCTGTGTATAGATAAACATACAGTTTAAAGGAACTTTTTCATCTGGACTAATAGTGCTCTCCATAAGTCACAGACTAATAGAATCCTTAACACTAGACATGAGAAGCCCCCTTTGAGTTGTTGGTCAGTGCTATCTAAGAGAATCCCAAAATATAGGCTATTGCTGTTATCTATTGTTGCCTCCAAAAGGCTCAAGTATGTCCCTATTGCTGAGAACAGCATGTACTTTGGACACAAGTCCCAGAAGACCTGAGCTGGTTCTAATCTGAAAGTCTCCTGCCTGGGTACTAACATTGATGGTACCAGAATTAGGGGTCCCACTCTTTGCTTCTTTGCCTGGCTGCTGTGTTAGGAGCTGTGCCTCATTTTCTAGAACTCTGAAAGCTCAAGTTGCTTCAGTCTTCACGTGTTCCCTACCATGAAGGACTGAAATCTTCTGAAATAATGAATCAAGTAAGCCTTCCCTCTCAAGTAGTCTGTCACTGAAATGAGAAAAGTAACTAACACAGGCATAAAAAGGCTTTGATGTTCAATCTTATTTGATGACATTATTAATCTAAATATTAATAGTTTATTATCATTAACATAACCCTGAAAATTCCAGGTTAGAAATACAATCAATAAGTTCAAATAGAGTATTAAAGTTTTATTTTACACTTCAGTAAGATGGTCAATATAAACCTGTTGCTCACAAAGTATCAATACTACTGTTGTCAATATTCAGAATATTTAAAAATGATCGAATTAAGGAAAATTTCAGAAAACAAGAGCTTCATCAACATCTTAGTTGCTACTCTAAAGACACATGTATTTCCTGTCTTTAAAAACACATTTAGTGTCTATTATCTTAAAGTAGAATTAATTACATTTTTTCAAAAGTGACAAACTAGTTATCTAACAGAGTTAATATCATTAAAATGTATTATTTCTTGTTTTCATTTTGGTTAAACCATACTGAAAATTTCTAAAATAGTTCTATTGAAGAAAAATTATAAAACAATAATAACAACAACAAACCCTAGGTAAATTCAGAAAATGGCGATGTATTACACAAAGAAATTACCAAAGATAAGACCTGATATAAGGCAAAAGTGCTATACTAATAAGACTCTTTCATTTAAAATCTCCACGATTTTCAAAAGATCTTGAAAAAAACTAAGAAATTCCCAAACTGAGAGGTCACTAAATATCCAGCAACACTCACCCAACTATTGGTAGGAGACCTCTTGGAGACCCAGATGCTTGAATCAGCTGAAATAGTACCAAGTTTTTTACTGAGTACTCTTTTAAAAAGTAATGGAGAATAGGCTAACTCCATATTATAAAAAAAACTGAAAGTTTATTCATACTGACAGCTTTACTTACTACCAGTATAAATGTCTAAAAGGAAGAATAAGGAATAGTGAATTCCAGTGTAAACAAAATTATACTGCATGTGTGTTAACTTTAATTCTTAGTGACACAAGTCTAATGTTAAGTACTGTAAACACACTGGCAGAATAGCTTTTCTAAATTACCATGTTATAAATCTTAAAAGAAAATAAAATACTTTAACATTAGCTCCCTAAAACTGTTAAGAAATATACTTATTAAAAATAATATAAATTCTCTAACACTATTTCAGTAACACACAGGGAAAGGCTTTTTATTTTGTTTTTAGTTACTTCAATTTTTTTAAAATGTAGTTCTTTAGTTCTTTAAATTATACTAGTGATTTTTGTAATAAGGATTCTCATAATTGAACACAAAGCACTTCAAAAATTAGTAACTAAATGAATTAGTAATTAGTAACTAAATGAAAGATTCCAAAGTGAACACTACTTTTAATATTATTAATATTGTTAAAATATGAAGTTATCAATTTAGCAGAAAACATATGCCAGGACCTAATTTTAAAGGGCAGTGGAATAGAATCAATACCAAGCTAAGAAGAATACAGAAGTTCTTTCTCAATCTCTACAAGTTGAAGATAAAGAAGGTAACCACACTCTACCTAAACCCATATGTTTCTTCTTCCAAACATCCATATGGGGGTTAAGGACAGACAACCTACAACCAAGGGAATGGCTAGGTACAAAAGCTGGAGACTATAATCTTCCCAAGCAGTTTAAATATAAAAACTACTTTTCTTTATAGATATGTAACAAGTAGAGGAATAAGTGAAACAAGACCCATTTAGTTAAAAGATACCAGAGAGAGACAAATATAGAACAGACTTTAATGTCAAGAATGCATATTCAAGCTGACAAATTCTAAAGCATTATGCCAGCTGGGAAATGATCTAATAGATACATTATTAGGGATAGACCTGCAATATAACCTATCTATAACTTCTCCATCGTCCGGCACTTTTTTAAAGACTTGAGAATAGCAACAAAATAATGAAAGTGAGAAGCACAAAAATATTTTGAGAGGTGCCCATAAAGGAGAAGTTTGAGAACAGGAGGCTGAAAACAAACAGCTAGCATGAGACTGCTGACAATCTTACTGGCTCTAGTAAGACAAAGAAGGAAGTAATTAACAATAAAGTAGGGACTGACATAAAAAAACTCCCATGAGAAAAGTCTAAACATTGTAAAATTTAAATGATAAAGCATGCCAATATTACCTTTCTTTCGAAAGAGTGCATTTAGGTAATTTTCTGCTTGGCATTCAATCTTATCACTGTGGGACTGGCCCTGAGATGATAGCTCCTCTGTTGGCGTTGACTGTGAAGAATCAAGAGATGGTATACAATCCTAAAATTATAAAAAAGTAACATTCCTAATTACTTTCATTTAAACCTGAGCTCCAATTTATATGTAAAAATTGTTTAAATGCTCTGCCTTTCATAAAATCTCAAATTATACCAAAAGAACATAAAATCTGTGATAGAATTCAGGGGAAAAGTATACTTCTAGTAAGGACCAAAGTAACCTTATTCCTTACCACAACTGTGATAAAATATGTGTGTGGGGGGGGTTGGGGGGTTGGGAGTGAGGGTGGGCGGGCACTGCTGAAAAGTTTACCATATGCATGCCAGTGAAGTTTAGCAAAGAAGAGGAGCTTAAAAGAGTGCCAAATATTTTCTCAGCTCTGCACATCGTAACAAATAAGGAATCAGGATTTCTCACCACACAGGAAGTGCTGGTTACATACATCTATGTCCTTTAAGACAGCAGGCACATATTTCATCATCACTAACACAGTAACATTTCTGATATCTAAAGACTTTAAAAGTAGTGAAATGGTTATAAATATATGGATAACAGCCTATTATCCCCTTATTACCAATTGCTAAAAAACAAGATTGCAGAGTGTTCTTATATAAGCAAGCTCTCCAAGCTCACCCTTGGATACCCAAATACCAACCTGACCTCATGAATCAGAAAGTAGTAAGAAATAAATAAGGAAGAAAACCAAACCAAACCAAACCAAACCAAAAACAAACAAACAAACAAACAAACAAAAAGGAAAAGACAGAAGAGAAGAAAAGAAAAAAATGAGGTTTTGTTTTTTTTAAAAAAAAACTAAACTAAATGTTGGACATATTCTTTTCATTCAACAAAATGAAGTATTTAAATTTTCACTGAGTCACAAATTATCAGAACAACTTAAGTTAAAAAAAAAAAACCTGTGTTACAATTGTGTGATTATTTTAAAAATAACTTCATGGCACTAAAACTTACACTGACTGCTTCTCTCTGTAGGTTACAAAATGAACATTTTTCATCCATAGACCAGTCAGTCAGCTCTTCTGGTTCACAGTCTTTAAAAGAAGGAAAATATTCATTAAATATACTAACTTTATTAAAACCAGCAAAATCACCATCTTCCACAGCAATGGTAAAGTAAAAAATGAAAAGACAAAAATAAAACCTAACTAGTAACAATAATGGGAGAAAGTCTGTATTTCAAATTAACCTCTTAATATCTAGAAAAAAAAAAAAAGAAAAACCAGAATAGGCCATACAGAGACAAAATACCAAGAATAATGAGCTGGTTATAGATTAATAATTTTCCAACAATATAATTTTAAGTATCATCTAATCACTTTAAAGATTTAATGATTACTATTTATTAATTTCCTTTTTATTTTCACTATGACAGTGAGACCAAAGTGGTAGATATAAGAAAAGAAAAGAATAAATTTTTGCACAATATGAAAGAAAATATAATACAGAGAAACAGAAGAAAGGACCAAAGGTGTTGAGAATAGCCAGACTTGGGAAAATAAAATTACGTCTACAAAAACAAGAAACAATCCAATTTGTAGATCAAAAATAAGGTCATACTTTTTTCATTTCCAAAAGCTTGGTTACAATAGAAAAACATGGAGTGAAATAGGTTATGTCACCCAATGCAGGCCATGAACAGACTAGTGCTGCTCTCAGCCTTGGTCAGAGAAATTCCTGTTCCAGTGTGGACTGTTAACACAGAGACTCATAATTGGGCAAAAAAGTGATGAGAACAAATGACTATTGAATGTTCAGCCCTACGGGATACCTCTATCACATTCTACACTCTGAGACTCAGGAAACATCTTGAAATGAGAAACAGAATTTAAGAGCTGGAACATGGAGTGTTGTCTTCTGGACCTATGAACTCAGAGGCAGTGGTTACATGCACAAGACAGGACTTAACCACATTCCATCATAAATGCAGATGGGGCTCAAGGCCCTATTCTTTCATGAAGAGTTGAAAGCATAAAGACTTAGTGGCTACTGGCTGAGACGAAGTCCTATCCTCAGTAACAGAGTCACTGGTTATCTTTGCTCAAATAAATAACTCAAACTCATGCAAGCAACTCTAATTAAACACACAGAGGGGCACAAGAAAAAAAAAAACTTAGGAAAAAGACTTGGGCAGACTTGGGAAGGGGTTAAGTGAGGATAATATAGGCAGGAGTAATATAATCAAAACACATTATATACATCTATGAAATATGACCTATGGGACGTGTTTAAATAAAACATTTAAAATGGATTACTTTTTTTCCTGAACACTACTTCTTATAATCCAACAGCTCTAATATATTGAAAAAGTTTTTGAACACAAAAACACTTATCTGAAGGACATGTTAAGAAGGTATGGTAACACTGTCATTCTATTTACATATGGAGTGAGTTTTAAAACCATTGATAACAACAGAATATGCTTTCAATTTTTTCCCCTAAATCTGCATGCAGAACTTTACATGCAAAGCCTTTACTATCTGATACAGCTATATAATGGCTAATTGGAAAACCTTCAGTGTGTTACAGAAATTCTTTTAAAAAGCTCAATAGAGCTGAAGATATATCTCTTCTAAGTTACAGAGAAAATAAAGTAAACTGTTCCTGGTATGGCAATGAACAATTATACTGACTAGGGTCATTCTTAGGGCCCCCTTCTACATTAATCCAGAATGGAAGATCATAAAAATGTGTAAAAAGACCTTGCTAGGGGGCTAGAGAGATGGCTCAGCGGTTAAGAGCACTGGCTGTTCTTCCAGAGGTCCTGAGTTCAATTCCCAGCAACCACATGGTGGCTCACAACCATCTGTAATATACTTACATAGATAAAATAAATAAATCTAAAAAAAAAATTGTTAAAAAAAAAGACCTTGCCAGTAGCACAGAAACAGTATTAATACTTACACACATTTGCAAAGAGCAGTAAATGGGAACATAAGACCCAGTACGTGGTAATGTAAAGATATCTGAAGACTGGAGATCTGGACTGGAAACACATTTTATAGCTATGACTTTTCAGAAGATAAAGTTTTGTTTCAATCAGCTTATGCATGTAATGTGGATTACATTACCTAATTTACAGACAGACAAAAACGTCACAAAAATCTAACACCATACAATAGAATTACCAAATGCTGTTCTTTTTCTAAGTTTCTGTGCCATCAAACATGTATTTGATAACATTATTCTGTAGAAGATTAAATGCCGGCTTAAGAATATATGCTCACTTTACTACAGACAACTTCACATATAAAAACTGTAAATAATCTAACAATTAAAAACAATTCCTTCCTGGGCTTGGGAGATAGCTCACAGGGTAAAGGCACATCTCACAACTATTTGATCCCTAGAAACCACATTTAAAAAGTCAATGTGGTGGCATGAACTTGTAATCTTATTACTTCTATAGTGAAATGAGAGGTAGAGAAAGCGTGTGGCCAGCTAGCCTGGAGTATGAAGTGCAGCAGTACAAACAAGAAAGACTGCTTCAAAAAGGTAAGGAACTGAGACCCCTAAAAGTTATCCTTTCCCTGTATGTACACACACACACACACACACACACACACACACACCAAAAACTTGGGGAAAAACTGACTCCTTATAGAACTTTAGTTGTTTTGATCCTAGACTAAAGATGTGTATATTATTTACTGCTGAAGCTTTGAAACAAAAGGTATAATCCAGCCCCCATTTGAAACAGGATCTTGTTTTGTAGGGTCTGGGTGGCCTGGAACTCACTATGTAGACCAGGACAGCTTTGAATTTGTAGAGATCCTTCTCTCTTTCCACTGCTAGTATTACAGATCTGCACCGAACCCAGGCCTCCCTCCATTACCCTGACATTTCGCTGTCCACCACAAAAACATAATGCAAGAGAAATCCTGGGACTTGCATATACAGACTGCTGTGCAGTTTCCTTAGATCACTCCTAAGTAGTCAGACTTCAGAGCTATGTATTTATGCAGGATTAGTGCTGCAATACATGACTTACATCAAAGAGAAGTTTTGAAAAGTCAAGGAATCCTGATTTTTATTTTTATCATGGCTTCATGAGAAAAACACAACATTGAAAATTTTGAAAAATGGCCAACAGACTTAGGATTAAACAAAGAAACAAACCAAAAACACCCAAGTATGGCAGAATATTCCCCTAATGAGTAAAGATTTCAGGGGACCAATCACTGAGTAAGGAGAAGGCTGTACTTCCGGGTTGGAGAGGGGAAGAGGTGAGGCAGAAAAAGGTGTCCTGCTTTGGACTGGGAGAGCTTGGAGGACAATATGTGGCTAACTAGAGGCCCCTAGTTTAGTTGGTAGATCCGCCAGGATTCGCCACCGGAGAAGTTACATCTAGGATAGCTTACAAAATTAGGATGCTAGTTGTTGCACCCAGTGATTGAGTTACCTGTTGATTCTGAACTAAGTTTGCCTGGTGTTTTCCTTCACGCAGAGACTCAACTGGGTTCCAGAGAGAAAGGAACAATGGCAAAGCATGGGTCTGTGAGAAGTGCACCCCAAAGGGCTGAGGGAATTTGGAAGCATGGGGCTGGTGTAGATGCAACCTGCCAGTGCGAACTTAGTGAGCTGGGTGGAGAGATTTCAGAGCTCCGGGAGTTTCCACTAGATGAGAACAGGACGGCCTGCCCTCCAGTGCCTGTGTGGTTTGCTTTTTTATATTTCATGCTACACTCAAAAATGGTTGTTAAGGGGTACAGAGGGATGTTTCAAGGGTTAAAAGCAGAGGCTGTACTACCTACTCAATACCCAGCATCCACACGGGGGCTCACAGCTATCTATGACTCCAGGGAATCTCATGTGTTCTAACCTTCTATGCACATGGTGCACAGACATGAATGCAGGTAAAACACGTATAGGTGGTTTTTATGCATAAAAATGTTAAAAATTAAAAAATATATGAATTCAATTGAGTTTCAACTTCAATTTACAATTACCAATTGTAAAATAAAAATGAGGTTCAAAAAGTCTTAAATAGTGTACCTTCATTGAAATAGGTATGATAGCATACACATAATCCTAGTACTCAGGAATCTGAGGCAGCTGACAGAAGTCCAAGGCTGGCTTACTTCATATAGTGAATTCTAGGTTAGCCAGGGTTACAGTAAAAACCCCATCAAAAATACCAAAAATTAAATATGCTTATAAATAAAAGGCAATAAAAACTGATTGTAAAAGCTGATATAGGTGGAGGGACATTCCATGTACTAGCTATGGCCTAAGCAGGGATGATTTTCCAGGCTTCCGTCTCTTCTTGGGAACTTGAAGAGAATAACACTTGCATCTCAAGGCTGTAGGAAAAGTTAATATAAAAACATGTATGTAATTTTGAAAGACACAACTTTCATTTACTTTGAACAGTTTATTCTTTTTAGTATAGTTTATTCACAAAATATAAATAATATAGTTCCCAAAGACAAATTTCAGTGAAAAATAAAAACCTAAATTTCATTTTGTGTTGTTCTTTGAACAATAGGTTTAAGTTTACTGACTTCTGAGAAACATACTGAACAACGACAATACAGCAACAAAATAACATTAGGGCTACAGCTGCAGCAAAGTGGATGGGTCTGAATCCTGCAAAATACACACACACAATCACATGTGCAAGCTCATACACAGGTCCATGCATGTACACAAACACACAAGCACATACAATTTTACATGCTTACACAAAAAAGAGACTCCTTGCTGTGTTTGTTTTTTTTCTGCCTTTTTTGTTGTTGTTGTTCTGGTTTTGAGGGTTTTTTTGTTTTGTTTTGCAGAAAAAAATTATGAAGTTGAGGGGGAATCTGGGAGAAGTTGGGAGGGAAAAGAATATGACCACAATATATTGTATAAAAAAACTGAAGAAAGAACTAAAGTAAAAGGGAAAAAATTTCACCTACAAAGTGTACTATCAAAAGATAGCGACTGCAACATTTGCTATATATCCTCCCAGTCTGTAGTATAGGCCTTTCTAAAAATTAAGATCATCTGGTACTTTGAAAAGGTAATACAATCCATAAATCTCTAGCTAGGC